TGGAGGGTCACATTCAGCCTATAGGCTGGAAGTTCCCTACCCCGGAAGAATTTCACTTCTTCAAAATGTACCCCTGAATACCAGCTTCTGGGAATAAACAACTGGGAGAGATCTCCTTGCATTCAAGCCCTGCTTATGAGATTTGAGAGGCCTCTGGCTATCAACTGGGGGGAAGTAGAAAGCTGCACTAGATGGAACTAAAGATCCGCCTTCCTGGATCATACATTCTCAAACTCCTGCAAGGCTTCTGCAGTCTGCCTCCGTTGTAGCAACATGAATTCAGTTGATAGCCACTTCACTTTCTCAAAACCAGATTCTTGCCAGAGTGCCAAAACCTGCACACCTGGTACAAATTTTGCATGTTGGACAAACTCTGCAATCATCTACCATGGGCTGGGGAGCTTGAAATATCAGATTCCTCATACGTAGCTATCTGGCTGTTGATGTTTTCAGGTATATAAGGCACCATCTCATGACATTGCTAACTATTGTCCCCCAACCCTGCCCCCTCACTCTTTGCGAAGTGTGATCCTGTAGCAGCAGAGGGCTATGAAGTAGAAGCTGGCTGGCAGACTTCCTACTTTTGCCCATATATTAAAATCCTTTCCAGCAATGCTGAAATATATAACTTAAGATTTTCAGAGGGGATGCTTTGTGGAATGTTCTCTAGGTGTCACTGAAGGCTTGAGATGCCATCACTGTGTTGTGTTGTGTTCCTTGCACAGGTGTTGCCCGGGCAGTACTGCAGTGAGCCTCTCTTGTTTTTCCATCAAATCAATGCCTTTGAAGATCAAGGATGCATCGTCCTTGACCTATGCTGTCAAGATGATGGAGGGGCTCTTGATGTTTACCGGCTGCAAAACCTCCATAAGGCAGGCGAGGCTCTGGATCAGGTAAGGCAGTTGTGGAGGCCAGTAAGCTGAAGCTGAATCCTGGCAAGATGGAGGCACTGTTGGTGGGTGGTTCTCATATTCAGGAATTGTGTAAGCAGCCTGTTGTAGGCAGATGGCATCAGTGGCAAGGAATACCTATGTACAGCTCTTGCTACATTCAGCTATGTCTTTTCCTGGAGCAAGATTCCCTTTCTCTCTCACTACATGCTGTGAAGGTGGAGTTTAGTGCATAATTAACTATGGTAAGTACAGCTGTAGTGGTTGAAATCTCCAGCTTCCAGAAGAAAGAAGCTTTGAATCACCAATGGTGCACTTTAACATTTCATGATCTTTAAATCCATTTTGTACAGATTATTTGGTTGGAGAACTGCAGCATAAAATTCAGAGAAGTGCAAATATCAAAGGGTAGCTATATTTTGGTTTGCATTTTATTTTCGAAAGTGCAGGTTTGCATTAAAATCAGAACGGAACCAAATTTATCCCAAGAAGGAGCCCAAACTGGGAGGCCAAGGAATTCTATTTCTCTACTGGTTGGTTCTTGCTCCCTATCTCTATACCAGGCCTGCAAAAGGGGACCAGTTCTTCCTTTTGCAATGACATCCTGTCTCCTTGCCAGGCCTACAATTCAGTGGCGAGGCCGTATCCACGACGCTTTGTTCTGCCCATCAATGTGGATCCCAGTGCAGCTGTGGGACAGAATCTCAGCCCCTTGTCCTACACATCGGCAACGGCCACGAAAGAGTCCAACGGGAAGGTATGTACTCTCTGTACAAAGGGATGCTATAGGGGCTACCGTTTGTGCCTGACATTTCCATATTGTGCTGAACTCGCTCTCCATGTGGTTGTATTGCCCACCAACATCTCTTTTGCTCCTACGTGCTGTAGCTGCCAAGCTGCTCCTTGCCAAAAGAAAATGTAAACACTGGGCTCCAATTTAGCAAGCATGTGAATACAGGAACTGACATTTCCAAAGGATCAGGTAGAAGGTCATGGGAAAGACCACTGCCTGGTGCCCTGAAGAGCTACTGCAATACTGGGCTAGATGGAGAAACAGGCTCACCTAGTATAAGGCAACTGCCAATGTACTTATAGTGTGCCGATTCCTTTTCCAGATCTGGTGCACATATGAAAGTCCTACATAATGAGAACCTCAAGGAAGCAGGGGGTCTTGAATTCCCCCAGATTAACTATTCTTCTTACAATACGAAGAAATATCGTTACTTCTATGGTTGTGGCTTTGGGCATATGGTTGGTGACTCACTGATTAAGACTGACATAAAGACCAAGGAGATGAAGGTAAAAGGATGCAACACAGTCAATTTCAGGGTGGGTGAGAGCCGGCTCTTAAAACCCACAATAAGGAGCCTGTTTTGTCCCCTTGTTTTTGCCTGCAAGATTTGGCGACAGGATGGAATGTATCCTTCTGAGCCAGTGTTTGTGCCAGAACCTAACTCTGCTGCAGAAGATCGTGGGATTATTCTGTCCGTTGTGCTCACAGCCAAGCAGGTAATTTGGTCTTCGTTGCCTATATAAATGGCCACTGTCTGAACATTAATTTTCGGACCAGGAAAATACAATATATAATAAATAACAACAACAGTAACAATGATCTCGAGTGAACACTGGTGTGTACAGAAGGATCCTGTGTTCTGCTTCGAAATGCAAGAACTTTGTGGGTGCTTCCACACAACAGTTCTGTGTGTGGATTTGGTGCTGTTCCTGCATGCAACCTTTGCGTAGCTTCCATGTGACGTCCTCCTCATCAAAATGCCAATCCCATATAGTTTTCTCCCATTTAACCTGGATTTTACCATTTCTGTGGATATCCGATAAGTGAAATAATCCTGGGCAAGGTCTGGTTCAAATTTGGGGCAAGTGAGGATATCAAATGGAATTTTGATGAGGATGGCATTGGGAGGGTGCTGTGCAAAACTTGCATGCATGGACAGTGCTGAGTCCACAGTAAACTGCCATGTGGAAGCACCCTCTACAGCTTCTCTGTTCCTCTGGGTTTCACCTTTCTAATTTAATTGAAAAGAGCATTGTGAGGGGGTGCATTGGTGGGAGGGAGATAATACTCCATTTCAGTATTTTTGTTTGACTTTGACCATCATTCTTGTTTCAGAATCGAGGTACCTTCCTGCTCATTCTGGATGCTGAGAATTTTACTGAACTGGGCCGGGCAGAAGTCCCTGTCCAGTTCCCCTATGGTTTTCATGGCATCTTTGTTCCAGGTCAATAGAGATTAGCCAGTGGTCACATAGCAGGATGCGGAGGAGAAAGAGTCTGCTCTACAATGCTCTGAGCTTAAAACCTTTGACAATATGCTTAATCTTAACCTATCTAGGGGTGCCAACAGGCTGTCACTATTTGAGGGAGGGATTGAAGTGCATCTGTGAATTTAGGTTTGCAGAATTAAGGCGGATTAAACACAGGAATCTGTCTTCTACCAAGTCAAACCATTGCTATGTAGCTCAGTATTATCTGCACTGACCCAACAGTGGCTCTCCAGAGCTTCAGCTCCACCAAGAGATGCTTGTGACTGAACCTGGCACCTTCTGCATGCAATGGTGTCCCACCATTGATCTACAGCCCTTTCCTTGGTACAGAAAAAAACCACTAAAAAACTGACCTTTTAAAGTTTGGAAAGCTACAGGGAAATGCATTGGAAAATTGTGGGATTAACAAATTATTAACGGGAAGATCCCACCAGCAAATCAGGATGAATGCTCATTGCTGTGTAACCTTGCCACAGATTTGAAAGAATACTCTGCAAAGGCCACACCAGAAACTAACTTCTTAAGTAAGCTTTGCGCAAGCAAATCAGCTCAACAAACAGGCCTTCTAGAGGAGTTCTTGGGACTATTCTGATCCACAGAGATGTTCAAAAGGAAATAGGTTAATGAGTGTGAGAGCTGTCGCCAATGAAAGAAAAACATTGACCATAAATCGGTTTTTTTTAAAGGAGGCACTCAAGCGATATCAACTTCAAATCTAACCTTTTGGACAATTCTAATTGTTTAGTCTTTATTTTTGTATTATCTATATTGAGATTTTCTTATCTAAATGCAATTAAAGCGCTTTGGACATATTCTGTATATTTTTAAATCTTTTCAATGATAACAGCAATGTTTTAATGTGCTTTGTACTCTTTTGGAGAAGTTGGCTGCTGAAAATGAAGGTGTGGAGAGAGAGAAACAGACAGAGGAGAGAGACAGAGAAAGGGATGCCCTGATTCTGTTAGGGATTCGTGTTTTGTTTTTTGGTAACACAACGTTGCACCCGCAGGAGCTGACAGGTGGAAATGAGGTCTTCTTCTTCCCAGGGGCAGCATACTAAGAACCAGAAGACCGCCTCCATGTCTGGAGATGTTGCTTTCATTCATTTGGTCAACCTTCACCATATTGGTACCCTAAAAATGTTTTGGAGTACAACAACCATCAGCCCCACCCCATCCAGAATAGAGCTGTAGTCCAAAACATCTGGGAAGAGCACCAGGAACCTAGGAAACTGCCTTATAGTGAGTCACACCATTTGTCTGTCTATTTATTGATTGATTTAATAATATTTATATACCGCTTGACGTAGATAAACCTCAAAGCGGACAACAAAAAGATAAAACAATAAAATTGTCACTAAAGACTTGCAACCATAATTTAAAACATAAAAAGGTAAAGGTAAAGGAGCCCTGACAGAAGTTTAAAACTGCAAAAAACTAGACTAAAACAAATTAAAATCAAGAAGGCTCAAAAACAGAGATTGCAGTGTGTGTGTGCAGTGCGTATGTGTGTGTGCAGTGTGCATGCGTGTCTGCAGTGTGTGTGTCATTCTGAACTTTTTCTATGGTTTATTACTGAAGATCATGGCACAAATAAAAAGGTTGGCATAAGGAGATCCCCATTCTGAACTTTCTTGACCCTGGTACCAATCTTAACTCAAACATATCCTGGAAGACTCCTGAGCTCCTAATACCTTGAATAAAGATCAGTACATGTAATCTAGTTACTGGTAAAATCTAATCAACATCTCCCGTTAAAGAATGATTGCTACCAGGCAAAATGCCATGATAACAAGGAAGCAAAGAAGGAGAACCAGTTTAGTCATTGCTCACTAGGATTATACTTTTTCAACTTTTAATTAAGCAGAATAAACAAAATGGGAACTTTTGGGTAGAAACAACATGACAATCAAACTATCAAAGCCCTCTTCCCGTTTTCAATATATTGCATTGGCTAAAATTACTACAAAAACCTTATATTCTCAATGGTTTGTCAGCGCTCCAAGGTCCAATAATGAACCTAGTCACACTCTTAAGGAACCAACATATGTTTTGCCCTTAAGGACAGGTATACCCTTCCCTCTTCATTCCTTGGCTTGCTATTAGCGTTGGGTTCAGTGGCAAAATTGTCACTTTCTGCTCACTTTCTATAGGCTTTTGAGAATAGTTAGGGATTCTTTCACACTTTAAATCAAGGTGTCTATGTACTGTAGGGTTTGCTGGCTGCTTAAATTGAAGTTTTGCTGTCTGAAGCAGCATTTATATATTCTGTCACTTTCATTCCATATCATAAACCAAGCTTTCTTTATTACTTTTATATACAAACCTCTTATGGGCACTGGGTTAGAGGAAAACACACTCATAACAGATGCACATCATAACTCTAGCCAAAGATTCTAACCCCTTGGTAGTGTGTGCATGAATACATGTAAGTGCTGGACACGCCTGTGGGTTCAGACTTTGTAACATGTGAAGGATCAGTGGATTTTCCCCAAGCCCACAAATGGCACACATGGCAGGAAGGATGCAATCATGACCAGCAGTTACATATTTTTAGGACTGCTACAAATCTTCCTTTGGTCATCTGTGGGGGGCATTTTGCAGGCATTCACGACAGTCGATGGAGCTGGCATTTCTCCCCTATAGACAACGCTGCTCTCATCTGTATTGTAGAGTTTTATTTTATGAAGAGCCGTTGCAGGCAAGTGCTTTTGGAGGTTCTCCCAGATGAATACAGCGAGATTCTCGGTTGTGCTGGAGATTTGACAGAGACAGAATCAGGGCATTAGGCTTGTCTATATCTTTCTTGCATGCGACTTAGAGAGAAACACAAGAGAAAGTGGCAAGTGGCTTGCTGAGGCTTTAATAAAAGATGTGAGAGCTGGACAAAATTTGAACACAATTGAAATATTCCTGTGATTTGTTTTAACTCTTTTTAATAGCGAATTTTAAATTGTTATAACCCTCCCAGGAACCTCACAAGGATCACACTGGGTGCAGAGCCTTGGGGGGGGGGCACTGCAACTATGTTGTAGAATGGAAGGCAAAGGTTGGGGGAGGGCACCGAATTTTGGTGTTGCACAGGGCGCTGCTGAAATTTGAGACCCCGTGGTCCACCACTGACAGTGGGTAAGGTATATCATTATCATTATCGCGAGCATCATCCTGGTTTCTTACCTTACAATGTTGGTAAAGTAGGAGACATCGCGGTCAAGATCCTTTTTGTCAAGGGGCTTTGTGATGGCTTCCTGGGGAAGGGCAGAAAAGGATACTAAGCGGGACAAGGCAAAGGACGCGAAGTGAGTAGCAAAGAGCAGTTAACTATTATAAATTCATTTGGTTTCCACAGAGCTCTGTTGAAGAATTCTGCACCAAGACAAGCCAAAATCTTACACCAAGTATAATTTAATCCTTCAATTTGAACGTACTATATGAATGTGCCTATAGGGATATTCATATAAGCCTATATGAATATGAGTACTTGCTTTGAAGAAGAAGAAGAGTTTTGACTTGATACCCCACCTTTCACTCCCCTTAAGGAGTCTCAAAGCGGCTAACAATCTCCTTTCCCTTCCTGCTCCACAACAAACACACTGTGAGGTGAGTGAGGCTGAGAGACTTCAGAGAAGTGTGCCTAGCCCAAAGTCACCCAGCAGCTGCATGTGGAGGAGCGGAGACGCGAACCCGGTTCACCAGATTATGAGTCCACCGCTCTTAACCACTACACCATGCTGGCTTTGGGCAGTGTGCAAGGAATTCTGCTTTTATTTTTGCTACAGGGCAAAAAGCTATGTATAGAGTATCGAATTCTTATCATCAGTGGAAGAAAATGTTACCCCCAATCTCCTCCTCCCCCTCTGCTTTAACTTTGGAGAGTTCACCAAATATATTCAAGCCTAATAGGCCCATAAAGGATAGGAACCAGCATTTATTTATTTTAAAAAACTGGGTCTTAGAATGCTGAATTTTGAGTTCAGCACCAAATTCTGAATTTGTGTGGTATGACCACAAAATATATGCAAGTCCCTGTATCAGAGAAGAGTTTTTTTTTGCTGAACCTATTCCTTGGTACTTTGAAAAGCAAGCAAACCAACAGCAATATTTTGATTAATCAATTTTACTTTGTGGCATAGCAGGATTGTTAAAATAATTGTTATTTCCCTTATGCACATATGAGTTAACTCGGGGGTGGGGAACCTTTGGCTCTCCAGGTGTGGCTGAACTGCAACTCCTATCAGCCCTGGGGCTGATGGGAATTGTAGTACAGCCATGTCTGGTAGGCCAAACGTTTCCCTGAGGTAACATGAAATTCATTACAACAAGATACGATGATGGTCCCTTGATTGGGATGCTTTTAAAGCTACTAGTTATTATGGCTACCTTCAGGTTCAGAGGCAACATGCTTGGGAACATGAGCTAAAAAAGGCTATTATCCTCATGTCTTACTTACAGGTTTCCCATTGGGACATTTGGTCGAGCCACTCTGGGAAACAAGAATTGCTAAAACAGATGGAACCTTTCATCTGATTGAATAGTTTTCTTCCGACATTCTTAGTACAGTATATACTCATTTTTGCAATGTCCTTCCCTCTTTTCTTCCCCGCAAGGCAAAATAAAAATAGATGGCTCACTAGGCTGACTGAAATTGCCAAAGGTTTTAGTTTGCATTTCACACAGACATGCCAGCTGCTGGTTTGCAAGTCCTTGAACAGACTTTGTGATTGACCGCTTGCGCTCTCAGAATGAAAGCTGGGTTACGCGAGGTCTTTTTCTAATAAACAGCAGTCATCAACCTTATGAGAGTTGGAAAGCTGGGAAGTGCTGAGCAGATTTGGGCTAGAGAACCATTGCCCTCCCCTTTGTGTTTACAGTTTCAGTCGAGAATCTCCTAGGCACAACCCAGCATCTTTACCTTCATGAATGCTTTCAACTCCTCCAGATTTATCACCATCCCAGAAGTGGGATCAATCTAGAAAGAAGATCAGTGGGCATCTCAGCAATCTATGGACAGGTGATTTTGTGGGAATACAATTTTCTCTTTGAATTCCTGATGGCCGCTGGAGAATTTCTACAGCCATCTAGGAAAGGAAAGTCTGGGAGCTGGCCAGCACACTAAAGTCAAATATGCACAGGCATGACCCAGAGGTTAGTGGTGACCCACTCCCCGCTAGAGGGTGTGGGCATGAAGTCTATTGCAATTAGTCTCAGAGCCTTCTGCATGGCACTCCCAACGACCCAGAACTTTGTGTCTAGTTTATAATGGCTGCCTCATGACATGGGTGTGCAACCCACAACATTTTTTTAAAGCACGGTCCACAATCTCTATTATCTGACGATGTGGGCTTTGCAAGTGGAAGCTTATGCCACAATAAAGCTGCTTGCCTTTGAGGTGTCACCAAAGCTGCAGAAATGGGCTAATGTGGCAACACCACTCAGAGTTAGAGACTTGGCTTTTACGGTTACAAGTTAGCAATATAATAGCTAATAGTGGGGCGGCAAAAAGGTCCATTGGGTACAATCGACCTTGCAAGCTCCAAAATGAATTGGGAGCTGCCTATTCTGTCTGGATCACGTAGGAGAACTTCTTGGTGGTTAATCAAAATAATAAATTTAGATATACATGGTGTCTATGCAAAAAAAAGCCTCTAGCTCTGTTGTTGTAGTAGTAGTAGTAGTAGTTTAGTCATTTAGTTGTGTCCGACTCTTTGTGACCCCATGGACCAGAGCACACCAGCAGACTAGTTCAGTAGACGTTAGCATTTTCAGACCAGGGATCCATCATTAGCCCAAACGTGCATTTGGAAGCCCACCTTTTTTTACACCATATATTTGTATGGTTGTAGGTGTTGCTGCTGCAATCCGCATTAGGTGAGGCTGCAACCCACCAAGTAGACAGATGTTCTAGGCAACTTAGCAGCTCACAATATCATAAATACAACCCTTAACACAAGCCAACTAACCAACAGCAGAACCCTAATGCCTTTCCCCTCCAATGTTCTGTCAATTTAATGTTAGGATTATGCACATTCATGGGCTCCTGAATCACAACCCTTTAATACTCTTAGTAATTATATTTCATGGCAATAATTATTTCTAGGGTTGCCTTTTTAAATGTGCATTACATTGTCTTCATGCAAACGTAAATATGAATATTGTCTCTGTGTGCATAAGCATATGTAAAGGTAAAGGGACCCGTGACTGTTAGGTCCAGTTGCAGACAATTCTGGGGTTGCGGCGCTCATCTCGCTTTACTGGCCAAGGGAGCTGGCGTACAGCTTCCGGGTCATGTGGCCAGCGTGACTAAGCTGCTTCTGGCGAAACCAGAGCAGCGCACGTTTACCTTCCTGCCAGAGCGGTACCTATTTATCTACTTGCACTTTGATGTGCTTTCGAACTGCTAGGTTGGCAGGAGCAGGGACCAAGCAATGGGAGCTCACCCCGTCACAGAGATTTGAACCGCTGACCTTCTGATCAGCAAGCCCTAGGCTCTATGGTTTAGACCACAGCGCCACTCACGTCCCTATAAGCTTATGTGCTTTCCTTCAAACCACATAATGAAGACTTTCTGGAAGATGGTAAGTTAAGCTCTCATCACGTGTATTGTAGAATAATACCAGCCTGTTGGTCAAATATAATTTTGGCATTCTCCATTTTTCATGATAATTCAGTGATGAGCAGGTTGTAGTGGAATGAATGATGTTCATGGAAGAACAAATGAGCCAAAACACCTATTGAGTCTGCCAGTCACACCTAGCTACTCATGGTTTCTTCCCTACGCCACCCATGGTTTTACTTACTTTTCCATGGACAGTTACCACAACTAGAAGAGAAGAAGAAAACAATTAACTCTCCAAGACCAGCAATGTCTGCAGATCCTCCTTTATTGCTTGTTCTGGAATGGGGACAGTGTTGGAATCTCAAGGCAAACCTGTCAAAATGTGAACTTGCACAAAGCTGAACAAAGAAAATTAAGTTGATACAGCAGCTAACACAGACATCCCTTGAATGGTGAATGGATGCAATGGTGGTTGAAACAACAGACGTCCGTTTTGCTTCCAGGCTATTAATTAACTCTGAAAATTCTCCATCTTACCAAGTTCCTCCTGGTTACCTTGATCCTGACTTATTCCAACCCAGCTTTGCAAACACATCTTAATGCACTGGCACCTGGTGCTATTTCCATTTTATTCTACCTGGCCCCATTGTTCACCCCTGATTCACCTTCCAAGAGTGATTCCAAAGCACTCAACCTCTTGCTCCAGAGCCTCTCAGCTGTGTTTAGGCTCCCACCATTTGATTTGGAGGTCCTCTAATAAAGGTAAAGGTAAAGGGACCCCTGACCATTAGGTCCAATCGTGGTCCACTCTGGGGTTGTTGCGGCGCTCATCTCACTTTATTGGCCGAGGGAGCCAGCGTACAGCTTCCGGGTCATGTGGCCAGCATGACTAAGCCGCTTCTGGCGAACCAGAGCAGCGCACGGAAACGCTGTTTACCGCCAGAGCGGTACCTATTTATCTACTTGCACTTTGACGTGCTTTTGAACTGCTAGGTTGGCAGGAACAGGGACCGAGCAACGGGAACTCACCCTGTCATGGGGATTTGAACCGCTGACCTTTTGATCGGCAAGCCCTAGGCTCAGTGGTTTAGACCACAGCACCACCCGCATCCCTGCCTCTACTCTTATTCAAATCCTAGACTCTGTGATTCTATACCTGGCCATTTATCGACATGAGGAACCTTATGGGGATTGACTGTGTATTCAAGCCATGTAACAGACCAGTATATCCAGCCTCTGCTGTTCCACTATGTATCTGCGCAACAGATGGAGAGAATTGCAGGACTACCAGGAGGCTCGAATTGACAAGAGAAAATTCAGGTGGAAACCCCCAAATAAATTTTCAACAGCTGCTCTATCCTCCACCCCATGGTGGTGTTAAAAATAAGCAGGACCACCCACAAAGTTGTTCAGGCCCCCTCACCTTTATAATTGTGTCCATGCATCTGACTGCACGGCCCAAACAGCTTCATATTCTCTGCGTCGCTCAGCATCTTGCTAGAAAGAAAAATAATGTGTCATTGGTGAGCAAGCAGCAAGCCTGGGAGCCAGCTGACACTGTGCGATCCAAGCTGCTAGTCCGTCCTTTATTTCTGGTTTATTTTTTGCATCAGATAAAAAATAGAATTCTGTTGTTCCGGATGGGTCCCACTCAAACAAAAGCAGCATTCCCTCACTTGGCACTAGCACCCAACAGGACAGCTGTGCTTCTCTCTCATAACAAGCCTTAAGGAGCCTGGTATTCACCAGAATGACCTGTCAGTGGCACATAATTTGGAAGCGACTGGTTCTTCGTACCTCTGGAAATTTACATTTCTAGCTGAAAGATTCCCTCCCCTCCGGTCCTATTTCCCAAACCCTCCCATTCCTTCAGTGAATTCAAGATACTGAGCATTAGTGCCCCAGTGTTAAGATAGTGCAAACCCAATCCCAGCCACTAACAAGGCTCACACCTCTCTTTGCTTTCAAACATTCCCAGCCAGCTCTCCCCCCCCCCCCGGGCTTTTTAATACACCATCAACTTGCTTTGCATATGCTTGCTTTCCCAAGTGAGCACTGGACAGGCACAGGTGGCTTATGGGTAGCTTTCCTAACATCCAACCAAGGCTGCACAGATGGACTCAGACTCATTACTGTACACACATCCTGCACAGAAGGGGCTACATTCATCTCCATGCTCCAGCAATTGTGTGAGCATTGGGTGAAACTTTGTGCATGAATTATTATGTTACAAAGATTTAATTTCACAAGTTGGAGGAAAGAGGCTAGTGCAAAGTACATTTAAGAAAAGGAAATGTTTCTGAGCAATGCCCCAAACCAGCAGTTTACTGTCTCTCACCCCCACCCCTGCCCTGTTACCCCTGCCTCTTTCATACCTCCCCTCTTCCAGTTTGCTTCTATTACCCTGTTGCTTGACTCCCACACTTTTTCAGTCTAGATGGTAAATTCCTTGGGGCAGAGAGCTCCCCCTCTCTCTTTGGCTTATGCTACGCTGCAAAGTGCACTTCCATTAACAGTGCAGCACAGCAACAAGAATACCAAGATTTCCAACAAAGCACTTTACCTATGACTGTGCCACAGCAGCGAATGTGGGAAGAGTATTTCTATTTCCTAGATGCATTAGATATTAAAAGCATCAACCTGCAGTTTTCAAAACTTCTGTGCACGCCTGGAAAAGTTTTTTAAATCCCCCAAACTCCCATTTTTTTCAGCCACTGGGTACCAATCCTCCAGCCAACAGCTGTGCATCCCAGATGTATCCCCTGCCAGAAACCACCAAAGGTTGGAAGCAAGTTACCAGGCCAGTCTATGGGAAGCACTAAATGTAGTTATCCTGGAGAAGGTCACTGTCCTCGGAGGAGAGGTTGTTAGGATCGTCCTCTGAGACCCCTGGTTCTGCATTGCTGGAGTTGAGCTGATCTTTCGTCGGAGGGCAGGAAGAGTGAGAGGCTCTGCTAATGACAGCAGCAGAGGAGCCACATCCTAGATAAAGACCAGCCGCCCATCACATGATCAAGTCACAGAAGAACTTTATACACTACATCTTGGAAGCTGAGATCATGGGATGGATAGAAGAACCAATCAATTGACCCAGAAGGAACATGGAGCGCATGATTGGCATGCTGAGGTTTCTGGGTTATTATGTAGCATCTATAGTTAAAAGGGTCTCATGTGACGTCACAGCTGTTCCCAATCCTGTACTCAGTGGCCAGCCACATGCGTGTGGGAAACAGGACCCGGGTGCAACTGCACTCTCAGCTTCTGCAGTTTCCAGCAACTGTTTTTCAGACACATACAGCCTCTGAACTGTTCCGCTGAACTTACTGGAACTTACTTATGAGTAAACATGAACAGGATTGTAGCCATGTGTCACAATTTCTTTTTCTTCTTTTTTTCCCAACTTAAATTTTTATTAGTTTTCATCAGACATACATTCCAATACATTCATTGTATTAAAACATTTCATACATAACATTAGCTCTACTGAGCTTTGGACTTCCTTCCTCCCCTTCGGTAAGTACCATATATTTTCTTTATGTCACGTATTTTATACATTTATCTATTTGATCATAAGCTGTTGAAGTTAATCAAATCCTGCCAGTGTCTTTAAAGATTTACAGTTGCCTCTTATATAATCCAAGTATTTACTCCAATTTTCATAAAACTTTTGTTCATCCTGATCTTTTATTCTCCCCGATATTCTAGCCAGTTCCGCATAATTAATCATTTTGACCTGCCATTCAGTGATAGTTGGTATTACTTCTGTTTTGCAATTCTGGGCTAACATAGTCCTTGCTGCTGTCGTGGCATACAGGAATAGGTTTTTATCTTTCTTTTTAACATCTTTTCCAACTAGTCCCAGTACCACAATTTCTTCAGTGTTGGGAGCAGCAATAGTGGACAGACTCGACAGTCAAAAATGTTTGTTTCCTCGACTATTGCCAAAAATTCTTCATTGCCAGCATCTTCTCCCTGTGCCTTTATTTATTGTCGCAGTAGGACAAAATAGTGGCTGCGATCCAACACAAGACTGGATTCATGCCTGTGGGTATGTTCAGCTTCATACTGGGTTGTGGCTATTGCATTTGTCTGGAACGCAAAAAAACCACAACAGCAACATTCATACTACGGTTGTTGTTGTATTTCAATGCCAATACCATTTCAAGCCAACTGACATCTATTCAGAGTAGACCCATTGAACGTGCATCGATTTAACAGGTCTAAGATGGACTAGCGTTGCATGGAACCCTAAACCTTTCTACCGAGTATTTCATCTGTACAGTGGTACCTCGGGTTACATACGCTTCAGGTTACAGACTCCGCTAACCTAGAAATAGTGCTTCAGGTTAAGAACTTTGCTTCAGGATAAGAACAGAAATCGTGCTCTGGCGGCGCGGCAGCAGCGGGAGGCCCCATTAGCTAAAGTGGTGCTTCAGGTTAAGAACAGTTTCAGGTTAAGTACGGACCTCCGGAACGAATTAAGTACTTAACCCGAGGTATCACTGTAATTATAATGCGCATGCTTTCAGCCTTTAAAGGGCACTGGGGAGACTGGGCTTGCCCTGCCTTTTGCCAGCTCTGCAGCCCTCCACGCATATTCCAAAACCTTTCCGAATGAAGCAAAGCTTCCCCCTCCCCTCCACCTGCGTCATCCTCTTAACAGCTCTCCTTTCCTTTGCCTTTTCAGCGGCAAACTTTCTCCAACAGTTGGCAGAGGATTGGGGCGGGGGGCAGGGAAGAGGGATAAGGAAGAGGCTTCAATTGCCGCTACTGAGCTTGCGCCTTCTGTCCGCCGCGCAGACTCAGTAGCGCCCCCTCGGGAAACCCAGAAGTGCGGGGGGGGGGCCCGGCGGCGGAAAGCGAAGACCCCCGCCCACCTGCCCGGCGTTGCCATGGAGCCGCCTTTGCGCTTCGCCGGGCCTAGCCGCCTGGCCCGGGTTTCCCGCTGCGTCTCCTTCAGCGCCTGCCACCGGCTGCACAGGTGCCGGGGAGCGGGGAGGGAGCTAAGAAGCGCCCCTTTTCGGCTGCTTGCTGGGAACGAGGGGGTAGCGGGCGAGCGGAGGGCGCGCGCATGCGCATGCTCAGGGGGCTTGCGTATATATGTATGTATATGAGGAGGGGGCGTGCGCTTCCTCACTTTGCATCAAGACTCGGCCTTCTTTGCAGCAAGATCGTGGCTGAGATTCCCGATGTGATGTTAAGGTTAAGGGAGATGGTGGCTCGGAGCATGTGCAGAGTGCTGCCCGAAGAAGCAGTAGGGAGGCACCCCCTATACATATCCAATCTATGTGGAGCCGTTCTGTGTGTGTGTGCATGCGAATTTTTTTTGGCTCCAGGGCTCCACCTCAAAATGGTTGGTCATACCAAAATCCAGCTCTAATCAGGCTTTGTGAAGTTAAGGGAAACAGAAAGGATGTGGGGCTTCCAAACTCCCTTTGCTGCAGAGCAAGGTAAATGTGCTGCTTTGATGGGTCAGGACTGGGTTCATGGCACAGGTTTCACTTAGACTAGGGCTGAACCCCAGCACCTGTTTGCAGTACCAAAGTGTGTTATGCATCCTCCCCACTCGCCACTGAGCAACCATTATCTAAATTGCATAGGTAAAAGTAAAGGGCCATTAGGTCCAGTCGTGACCGACTCTGGGGTTGCGGCGCTCATCTCGCTTTATTGGCCGAGGGAGCCAGCGCACAGCTTCCGGGTCATGTGGCCAGCATGACTAAACCGCTTCTGGCGAACCAGAGCAGCGCACGGAAACGCCGTTTACCTTCCCGCTGGAGTGGTACCTATTTATCTACTTGCACTTTTGACGTGCTTTCGAACTGCTAGGTTGGCAGGAGCAGGGACCGAGCAACGGGAGCTCACCCCATCGATTCGAACCACGACGGGGTGAGCTCCTGTTGGTCCCTGCTCCTGCCAACCTAGCAGTTCGAAAGCATACCTGGTACTAATTCATCCCTCTTTCCAAAGCATGATGATGACGACGACACACATTTGTGTTTCACAGTAGCTATGTAAAAGAGGAGAAGTGGAGATTTGTATTTCCACACATGCAGTGGACATAAACTAGGGTGATGCACCCAGCTGTGGGGCCTCATAGTTATTTGGGGGGGGCATGGAGGGAATGATACACTCTTCCCTTTTTCCTTCTGTCCCTAAACCTGAAGAGGGGCTGTGACTCTTCAGCTTTCCCCATCCTTACACATCTACTAAGAAATACTCAGTGTACTACTCGGTGGGGCTTACTTCTGAGTAAATATCTTTAGGGTTGGGCTGTAATCCTTACATGTGAAAATGTGCCCCAAATTATTTCTGCAGCTATTCAAACAGCTCTTTCAGTCCTTTAAAAAAAAATCTATTGACGTAATTTTTTTGCTTCTTATCTGTGTTTGATTGTGGGTTGTCCTTGAATCAGTCTTGAATGACTCCCGTGTTTTAAAATTTATGCAATTTACAACTTTGGAAAGGAACTACTGGTTACGAAAGTTCAGCCCTCTTGTGACACTTCTTAGTCAGAAAAGATAAGGGACAAAAACCTCTTGTTTATTCTCTGGAGATGGGCATGTTTAGAATAAGACCCCATCCAGAAATGTGTGTAAAACTCGCGTTAAAACTGTAGCAAAAACAAAAGTTGCCCCACCAGGTTAGTGTGAAAGCACGTGTGTATGCATTCACACACGTTTTCACATGCTTAAATTGGTGAAAGTGGATTAGTAACAAGCTCTTTAATGCACTTCTCCACAGTAACTTGCTGAGTGATGAAGAAAACAAGAAACTTTTTGGGAAATGCAATAACCCCAATGGACATGGGCACAACTACAAAGGTGAAGACCAGCTAACCTGAGCACTCATGTACAGCCATACCTGTGTGTAGTTTTAAAACTCATGGCATTAGGATGAGATTTGATCCTGGGGTTACTAACTTAAGTTCTACTAAGCTACGACTTGTTGGTACTTATGCCTGATAAACTTGCTGTATTCCATTGGGTATATAATGCAGGAGATATTCCTGTGTGGGTGATAAATCCTTTGCAGGAACTTCTTATGCTTGACAAACTCAGTGAGAATTCACAGCTCAGTAGCTGAGCAAGTGCTTTGCACACAGAAGTTTCCAAATTCAATCCCACGCATCTCCCAAGTGGAAACTGTGGAGAGCCACTGCCAGTCAGTACAGATGATAATGATCTAGATCCGGGATGTCCCACCAGTTGACCGCTATCAACAGGTCGATCCCCAGGTGCTAGCAGTCAATTGCGGTAGATCATGGGCTCATTTTCCTCTACATGGGAAAAAGAACATCTGGCGATTGCCAAAATAAAGCTGCACGCTTTATTGTTTACTGAGCAATCGTTTGGGGAGCCCCCCTAAAAAAGCTCAACAACTTTGGTTCCACCCCCCCCCCAAATGGGTAGATCACTGCCATTTGTTTATACTGGGAGTAGATCTCAGTCTCTTTTGTAGTTAGACGTCCCTGATCTAGGTGAACCAATGGTCTCACTCAGCACAAGGCAACTTCCTACATTCTTGTGTTTTAAATTTGAGGAGGGGATGCTCAGCTATGTGAACCACCTAGCCCCCCCTACCTTGATTCTGCTCACATTCTACAGCTCAGATAGGAGTGATTTGGAGGGCTGGGTGGGGGAGAGAAACCCACCCCCAGGGGACTCTTGAATCACAGGACTACCCCATATGGGGCGGGTGTTTTCCCCCAGTAGCTTTTCATAAGCAGGCCTTCCAATCACCCCAGCCACAAACTGATATACGTTCTCCCTGTTGGTCTGCATGTGGGAGGTGGGGAGGAGTATTTGGAGGGCTGCTTCGGGGGAGCAGTAGTCCACCCACCGCAGGACATCCTTTTGCCATAATGAACACCCTCCCCACTCCTGGATGGGGTGGGCTTTCCCCCTCAACATCAGTTTTTTACCAGGCAGGAGCAGTCCTTGTTATTCTGAGTGTTTGTGGGGGGGTTTTTTGTGTGTTTTGTTTTGCTGTTGCAAGCATTTGTTTTGAGTACTCAAAACAAAACTTTTTTTGTTTTGAGTACTTGTGGAAACTGGGTGCTTGCAAAGACACAGTTAGGTAAATGCAGAACTGATCGTTATGCTCCTGTATTGCTAGTTAAATGCAACAGAGGAGAAGCATCTGAATTGGCTTTTATAATAGTGCCTCTTTGTGGCAGAAAATCAGAGCAGTTACCGGTACTTTGCAAGGGAAGATTTAGGGAAAAAGGGTTCTTTTTTGAAAACTTTTGGCTGAACTTGATGAGTATCTCTATGTAAGTCATCATAATTGATTTGAAACTCACTGTGACTTGATATTTTTCTTCTCTTTCTGCTTCCCCACCCCAGTGGAAGTAACTGTACACGGAGAGGTAAGTGTAAACTTTTCAAGGCTTTTGAAGTACATTTCAGATTGTTTGGCACCAATGTGCCATTTTTTAGATTCTAGATAACAACCAACCTGGGTTTTATCCAGTCTTTATTTTGCAACATTTTGGTGAGTCACAGCCCATATTGTGCCTTTTGGATTTCAGCCTAGAAAGAGGAAGCTATTCTCAGTGAGTGCTAGTCGTGAGGGCAGAAAAAGGGATTTCCTTCATATTGTGGGAGTGACTCATAAGAACATACACAGATCCCTGAAGGAACAGGCCAAAGCATCCTGTTCTCACAGAGGCCACCAAGATGCCTGTTACGGGGAACCTGCAAGAAGGCCCTCAGAGCAACAGCATTCTCCCTACCACAATCCTCAGCAATTAGTGTTCAGAAACATATTCCCTCTGACAGACTCATTCATAATTTTGGATTTCCAAAATTTCCAAGGCACAAAACTGTTTGTCTTGCACATCCAGGATTTTCTTCCTTTCTTCCAAGGTGTGGTGCGTCACCCTCTGACCTCAGAACTCACCATGGGGACTGGGCATCATGCCCAGGTGAAGTTTGAGGATTATCTCAGCACCCAGAAGGCTGCATTCATGTATACTTTACCTTGCAATGCCTGCAGTTGTTTTTTCTTACTCAGATATGTGAAACTGGTGCTGTGATGGTTATTGTCATGGAGAGGCGAAGGCAACGTGGTCCAGATTATTGCCAAAGCTCGGTAGCAGAATATAGAAACCTGTCTTCAGTTGAGTCAAACCATTTCCCCATCTAGCTCAGTATTGTCTACACAGACTGTCAGCAGCTCTGCAGGGTTTCAGACATGGAGTTTGTCCCATCCCTACCTAGTTATGCCCAGAATTGAACCTGGGACCTTCTGCATGCAAAGCAGATGCTTTATCACTGAGCTACCGTCCTTCCCTTGCTTTGCACACAGAAATTCCCAGGTTCAACACTCCCACATCTCCAGCTGAAAGGTTTTAGGTAGGTAGTTGTGGGAAAGCCCCCTGCTTAGAACTCTGTCTACCAGAGTAGACTGTGGGGCTCAGTGGGCCAATGGCCTGGATCGGTATAGAGAGTTCCTTGTTAGGGGTTCTGAAGAGTTACAGGGGGCACAAAGCTCCAAACATTCCCCATGTCATACTGTCTTTTTCTTACGAGATCTTGTTACCTAAAAAATGCCCAGGAAAAAATGATTTGATGGCTTAGATCCAGCTGTACCGGGAATCAGATAAAACATCTTTTATCTGAGAGATGTCAAGTTTTAGAGAGTAAAATACTGATGCTGCTGTCTTGAGTAGATCTAGCCTGTGACTTGTTGGAAGGAGAACTAAAGCAAAAGAAGAGCCATTCCTTTGAAACGATTTCCCTTCTCTTCCCTGCCCTGTACCCTTTCCTAGTTTTGATTCCAACAACAAGCTTTGTGAGAACAAACTTGAACAGAGGAAACTTCTGTCCAGCACCAGAAATTCCAGAGAGGCTTCCCTGATTCATTGCTGCTGTTGAGGGTGCTGTGATGTTGCTCGCAGATCGTGGCTACAAAGTCCTAGGTCTGTAGCAAATCTCATAATGCAGAGCTCTCTGTTCACTCACCCATTGCACCAGACCAAAGTCCAGTGTACTTGGCAAGCTGTGAGCTTCAGAAATCTTACATTTTGGCTCTCAACAGAGTGGCAAGGCCTTCTGTTGCTGCTGATTTTTGAACAGGGGCTATGAGAGGAGCAGTTTAGCAGCAAGAAATTTCGGGTACCAAGTTGTGTGCCTTTCTTTGGACTCAGACTTAGAGGTAGTCACCGATAGGCAAATATCTCTGCTGTTTATGTTATGGAAAACGTAGCTATTTGCTTCTCGTCAGGCTTAAGAACATAAGAAAAGTCCATCTGGTCCAGCACTCTCTGTTCTCCTTTGGCATCTGGTTCAAGCTCTGTTTGTCCTTGTCTTGTAGATTGATCCTACTACTGGGATGGTGATCAACCTCACAGATCTGAAAGACTACATGGAGGTAATAATGCCATATTTTTTCATAGTTGAAACGTTGTCTGCAGTACTCCCCCAGCCCAGTGTATGCTGCAGGGAATAGTGGGTTGTGGGGGCAGGAGGCTGATGCAGGAGAGAAACATGACTGGGAGAGCAGTGAACACAACCTGAAAGCTTTTGCATTTTCCTTCAGACAGGTAGAGGAAAAGAGAGAAGGGACGCATCAGTCCTCCTAAACTAAGGCCAGAGGGCGGGGGAGAGAGAGCAGACCAGTTGCTTGTCTTTCACAATCTGGACAAGGAGGGAATTCCTTCAGATCAATAAGTGATACACCCTATAATCCAAGCAGTGAACTATTCATCTTCCATTTGCTACAACCTAAGAAGAAATGGCCCGTTGAAACAGTTATGCATCATTGCAGACCTGTAATAAGAACCAACAGCATTCTTATTGACGCTTTATTTATTATTTATTTCCATTATTCCCTTTTTCCAGGCAGCTTACGGTGTCTTAGGTTTTATCCTCAGAACAACCCTGTGAAGCAGGGTAGGCTGAGAGATGGTGACTGGCCCAGCGTCATTCAGTGAGCTTCCTGGCTGAGTGGAGATTTCAACCCAGGTCTTAGTCTAACACTACTATGCCGCACTAGACATAGACATAACTGTTTAACCTCTTTTCTTCTCTATCCTTAGGAAGCTATCATGGAGCCTCTTGATCACAAGAATCTGGATAAAGATGTTCCCTACTTTGCTGAAGTCGTAAGGTAGGGGAGCTTTCTGCATCTCATTATGAACTGGGGCTGTTGAGTTCCTCTTACACAGCTAGTCCTTTTTTGCTTTTTTATCATTGAATCGTAGGAATACTGTGGACATAATTGAATTTTGAGTTCATTTGACAAAGTCCTCCATGATATTTTGGTTAGCAGGCATGTTCAATACTGTCTTGATCGAGGTTGGTAATCTGTGACGCTCCAACATGGTCAGGGATGATGGCAGTTTGTGGTTTAGCAGTTCCTGGAGCAGTACCTAAACCGCTCAGGACTGCATTACCTCAAGGACCGCCTCTTTCCATTTGGATATACCCGGACCCTGAGATCATCTTCTGAGGCCCTTCTTTGTGTGCCCCCTCCTTGAGAGGTCCAGAGGGTGGCAACATGAGAACGGGCCTTCTCTGCAGTGGCTCCCCATCTATAGAATGCGCTCCCCAGAGAAGTTCGCCTGGCACCTTCATTATACACCTTTAGGCACCAGGCAAAAATGTTCCTTTTTAACCAGGCCTTTGGTTGATCTGATTTACATCCTATGCCCTTTTAAAATGTGTTTTTTTTTTGGGGGGGGCCTATTGGGTTGTTGTTTTTATTTTCATTATGTATTTTTTGGTTTTACATCTTGATTTTATTCTGTGAACCGCCCTGAGACCCCCGGGTATAGGGTGGGATATAAATTCAATAAATAATAATAATAATAATAATAATAATAATAATAATAATAATAATAATAATATAATAATGGAGGGTGCCAGATTTCCCATATCTAGGTAAGTGATAATGTGGTCAGCTGGGTTCGCGGTGGTTGGAGAACCATACTCAAGAGAGTGTTTATCCATGGCTCTCCTCAAACTGGAGGGAGGGTTCAATTCAGGTGCCACAAAGCTCTGTCCTAATCCTGGGACTCCATAATTTCCCCCCCCTGTTGCTTAGATTGATTGGGGTTGGGTGGGATCCTTATCTTACTTGCAGATGACACGATACTGGAATGGGATTGCTAACATGTCAGAGGACAACAACAGAGTAACAATTAAAAATGGCCTAGACCAAATGGTAATTGGGCCAAAACAACCAAAATGAAATTTTGCATAGGTATAGAGGGGATATCTGGCTTGGCAGTAGCGTTTTATTTATTTAATTTTTAATTTAATTTAATTTATTAAATCCCCACTCAGCCCTGAATCTCACTGTGGCCTTGGGCCAGTCACATGTGTGAAAAGGATCATGGGATTGTAGCTGGTCTCAAGCTGGACATGTGTTAGCAGTGTGATGCTCCTGTCTAAAAGGCTCATGCAATTTCAGGCTGCATTAACAGAATCGTAGTTTCCAAGTCACGAGAAGTAACAGCTCTACTAATTAGGCATAATTAGGCTGAACTAATTAGGCATAATCTGGAATATTGTGTCTAGTTGTGGGTGGTGCACCTTAAGCAGGGTCTGGACAAGCTGGAAATGGTTCAGAGGAGGGCAACATAGAGGATCAGCGATATGGAAAATATGCCCTACGAGGAAAAATTGAAGGAGCTAAGAAGGTTTAGCTTGGATAAGAGAAGACTGGGGGCCAGAGGGACGCCACAGCCCTCTTCAGATTCCTGAAGGGGTTGTCGCAAAGAGGGAAGGACTAGATCTAATGGCCGTGGCACAAGAGAGGGCAGGTTTTGGCCAATCATTAGGAGAAGCTTCTTGATAGGAAGAGGAGGTCAACAGTGGCAATTTTATGGGACATTTTATGTAGCTAGAAGTCTTTAAGCAGAGCCTGGACATCCATCTGTTGGCGGCGGGGTGCAGGGAAGGCTTGTTCTATGGATTCCTTTCACTGAGCAGGGATTGGACCAGAAGACTTCCAAGGCCCCCACCAGCTCAAGGATCTTGTGACCATTTTTTTTACACGATGTAGGAAGATTAATTTCACTTGCCATTCTTTTCTGCATGTCCCATTGGGTGGGAAATCTGTGCATGCAATGCTTTTGGCCCTTTCCAACTCTGTACTCTTGTTAGACTTCAAACCTTCCTCAGCAGTATATTCTAATGCAAGCGCCCAGATAATCTGTTTTGGATGAGTGCAAAAAACTTTCTAAGCTTATGCATCGGTGGAAAATACTCAAAGAAGCACAGGCGTGGACATCAAGGGTAAATCAACAAAGGATTCTTGTAGATCGTTGTGCAGTGATCCACAGTAGCTTCTCCCTCTGGTGTAGGCATGTCCCGAGTGTCTGTGAAGATGACAGAAATCTAACTAGAAGGGCAGAATGGCTAACTCGCTGTTCTTTCTTGCAGCACTACAGAGAATGTTGCCGTGTACATCTGGGAAAACCTCCAGAAGCACCTTCCTAAGGGGACACTTTATAAAGTCAAAGTGTATGAAACAGACAAGAACATTGTTGTTTACAAGGGAGAGGGGACCGTTCTGGAGAAATGAAGATGCCTTTGTCTTGATGCCTTTGATCTAGTGCTGGTGAAAGAACCCAATCAACCGGAGGATTAATGAGCTTTATCTGCTAAGTGTAGCCATGAGAAATCTAGAATGTATCTTATTTGTTAAAGATATGCTATAACAGAAAGACAGCAAGGCTTTTGTGAAGGAAGTGAATCTTTTGTGCAGTTCTGTGCTGTTGGAATTTGTTGCTGTCTTGATGTGTCAAAATGTCCTCTATTTTTCTAGATAGCAAGGAAGATGTAGCTTCTCTGCCCTTTTGTATCTGTTTCCGTTTACATGGCACAAGAGAAGAGTCACACCAATTCAAAATCCTGAGTACTTACAGTCATACCTCATGTTACGTCCTCTTCATGTTACGTTATTTCAGGTTACGTCCCACGGTGACCTGGAAGTACCGGAAAGGGTTACTTCCAGGTTTCACTGTTCGCGCATGTGCAGACGTGCAAAATGATGTCATGCGCATGCGCAGAAGTGGTGAATCACAACCTGCGTGTGCGCAGACGCGCCACTGCGGGTTTCGTTGTTTTCATGTTGCGAACAGGCCTCCGGAACGGATTCTGTTCACAACCAGAGGTACCACTGTATTCCGTCTAGCAGCAGCTTTTCATGATCTACGGTAGAGAAGGTGTTTCACTGATCCCTCAGGGGGGCTTTTTGATAGCTAAAGATGCCATGGATTAAACTTGGGACCTACATAGAAAGCATGTCCTCTCCCATTGAGTTGGCCGTGGTCTTTTCCTTTTACTCCTATCAGGGTCCCCAGTTCAGATCTCACTTCTGCCATGAATTTAGGCTGTGTTCACACACCACTTCTCAAATTGATGCAGACCGAGTGCTTGGCTTTTCTACGTAGTCCACACACAATCGACCTCTGATGCATATTTTTTTTGCCCCTGAAAAGCACTAATTGAGAAAACTGGTTTTATTCCAAAAATAAAAGGTCATTGCAGACTGAGTCTGCATTACCCTGCAGTGTGTCCATTTGAAAACATGTAGGTGGTCCCAGATATGTGTGTGTTTGGAGCGGGACAGCTATACCCACCCAATGATATCGTGGATGGGTGTATATACCAAGATTGCTGTCATCATTCTCTTCATTCATCGGGGCTTGTGCAGGGAGGATAACATAATCCAAGGGAGGTTTTTCAAAGTATCAAGTAGCCACAGCCACCCTTGTGCATGGCAGTATGTGGAATTGATCTACACTGAAAGCAGCATGTTGTGGATGAGCGTGAACAATTCCAGCTTCAGAAAAAAAACTACACTTTTCACTTCAAATGGGTTAGTGTGTACACAGCCTCAAATGGTAGCTCTCAGCAAACCACACTTTTGAGTGTCACTCTTGGGATATGGGAATAACCAGTGCTCTTTTCTTTCTTTTTTAAGTGCTGGCACTCACCATGAAGTTGTTCCAGTAAGTGCCACACTTTCAACATTGGGGGTTGGGGGAAGGTGCTGATACTGTGTTCCCTATAGTACCCCTAGGAAAAAGAACACTGGAATTAACCATTTCCCCCTTCCTTACAGGGTTGTTGAAAGGACCACAGAGGTAATGTAACATATAAATGCTCTATAAAAGCTACTTACGTTGTGTGCTGCTTCCACTATGTGATTCTCCTGACCAACAGTCATTAAATGTTGATTTGTTAATGGATTTTGATTCTCCATGTCTCTTCCTACGTTAAAGAGAAAATTGGGAGCAGTCGCGAAAGGTGGAATGATTATGTTGTGGGGGAAAGGATTAAGGCACTTGGTGGACAGATGACTCAGCCAGTAGCTATTGGCTCAATGGATGCACACCTGACTATTGAATTCTGGGGATAAATGACAAGCTGTTACTCTTATGCAAACCGTCAGGTGCCAAGGTGGGGAATTTGGGGTGTGGCAAAACATCCCCTGTTTGGATATTGTGCATGTGGTTTTGGTTGTACACAACAGTCCAGCAGGGAACTGGGCACCCTTGAGCTCTTTGAAAGCTCTTTGAAAGTCAGTCGAGTGGTGCTGGTTCCAGAAGTTGGCAAAATTGGGCATTGTTGCCGTCTTGAGCGGAAAAAGCCACCGCTACCCTGGCCATTCTCACTCTGCACCTCTTACAAACTAAAAGGTCTCACTGGTAGGGGTTTGCTTGTGGTACGCCAGAGCTCTCAGCTGAAACAAGGCCTGTCTTGTGTGGGACTGTGGTTTGGAAGTTGATTGGTGGTATTGCCACTCCATTGATCCTGGCGTCTCTGGGTGTGAACTGAGGACTCTCATTGCAAAGCGCTGTGTTTGAAGGAAAGTGCCACAGCCAGTGGAACAAATGCACAATAGTGAAACAAATGCATGTTCTTCCCTGAATTATCCCTCCTCCTGTTTCCCTTCCTTCTCCCTCTGTTCTCTTCCCTGTCCTGAATTTTAGACTAGAATCCCCTTAAGAAAGAGGCCTGTCCTCCTGTACCATGCATAATGATCATTGCACTATGGAAATGAACACCAGAAGTCTCTGCAGGGGTGCAAGGAACGGCATTTTCTTCCTTGGCGTGTTGGTACTCCTTCCTCCAAAAGTTGCTCAGAGCAGCATCTGAGCCTCACAGCACCCCCTGCTGGCTCTGATTCACACCCTCCTTGTGTCTAGTTGAAACATGCCATTGAACTCTTGATAATACCTTTTGCTTCTCTGGATGGAGTATAGATGCAGGGGCTGGCCCACCCATGAGGCATACTGAAGCACCTGCCCCTATTGCTGGAGAAGCAAGAAATGGCTGTGGCTTCCGGTGAGATAACATGGACTTCACCGGAACCCAGAAACCACAGCCATGTGACTCCAGTAATCAAGGCAGTGGTGTCAGCGGGACCTCCCCATTTTGCCTCAGGTGGCAAAATGGGATGGGCTGTTCCTTTATAGAGGTAGGTGTGTGTGTGTGTGTGTAGGAAGTAGTCTACTGTATGAAGGTATCCTTTGCACCTGATGCTCTGCTTTGTCTCTGATCCTGCTCACAGTCACCACTGCCATGTGCCCCCCAGAAGGGAATGAGACCCTTGGTCTGAAAAAGGTTCCCCAACTCTCTTTGAGCTGGAGACCCAGGGCGAATGGCCTGCCTGCTGTCCTGCCCCATCCCCCCCCCCCGCAAATCTGTTTGGCCCTGGCTGCATGTTAAGAGTTGTGCTTGGGTCCAATTCCAGCCTCTGCCCTGGATTTATGGAGTGGCTTTGGGGTAGGCATTCTCACTGAGCATACAGTCTTCCATCTGTAAAATGTGTGATGGTAGTGGGGGAACAATGATCTTGGCAGGGTGGCTGTGATAGGGAAAAGTCATCATTAGTTACTGGTTTTAGTTTTTAAAAGGTAGCTGTGTTGGTAATTGAAAGCAACAACAATCCAGAATTTGGCCATGCTGTTATTATGACCAGTGATTAGTAATCGAGAGTATGTGGACTCTCTGTTTTATGGACTTAACAAGTGATTGTTGTAAATTCGTCTCCATTAGCAATTTAATTCTGTGTGTACCTCACGGTGGGGAGCAGACCCTGCAGTGCACTCTGCGCTGACGGTAATGCAGCGAAGACCAATTTGTGCAATCAGACGCCTGCTGGGGACTGTGTTTACTCTGATGTTATGTGTACCACCTAGAACCTGGAGTAAGTCGATGCGGCGCAGCAGCGGCTGTGGTTCTGCTTGTCTGATTCTGGAGGTGTACTTTTGGACCGGGAGTGCCAAACCTGACATGCATCAGGATGGAAGGGCCAGGCGTGTTTTCTCAAGTGTATCTTCCAGGTTCCACACCTCCAGCGTGGATCCCACAGTCGGTTTTCAGAAGTGTCAGCAGGGTATGTTCAGACCTCTGGGGATGGATACTGAACTCCTTTTGGAGCTGCCACTCAAATATGGGTCAGTTTGCACATACACCTGTTTCTTCTCTCTTTTCCAGTCACGTTGCTAATGGCGTTGTGCATGGCAAGACACTGGCTGCGTATACACCATGCATTTAAAGCACCTCCCCAAGAATCCTAAGAAATGTAGTTCGTTACAGATTCTGGGAACTGCAGCGCTGTGAAGGGTGAACGACAGTTCCCTAGATTCTCGGGAATGCTTTTCATGTACTCACATGCAGAAATTCTGGGTTGGAAATGCCTTTTGGGCATTAAGCAAACTGAACTGTTTCCCCGATAGACGATCTCCCCGTCTCCCCCATAACCCACTGTTCACAAGCTTCACGGCCCTAGAAATGATTGATGTTCTTTTTCCCTTTGGTTCTTTCAATAAAACCTCAGCTCAGCAGCTTGGGCTGAATGTATTGTGCTAACAATCCTGGCATTATGAAATTGCCCATTTAACCTTATACAGTGTGATGTATCTTAATGGAGGATGATTAGCAGTCGGATTATGAGCTGGCTTTATAAGGATAACACAATCGCTGTTGGGATATAAAGTTGTATGGGCTCCATCACTTGGTCATCAGAGAAGCCCCACCTGACGGCCTTTTGCATGTGGTCCACTTGCAGAGGCAGAAGATTGTATCCAATGCTAGTCCTTTTCAAAGCAGGCCTGTTGGATTTAGTGAAACTTGGGGTTCATCCATACTTCTGATTGTCCTATGCTATTTTCCTGCTTGTCCCATGCTTTCTTGGTCTGAGCAGTTTTCCATTGGCCCGACCACTTTCCCTGGGAAAACCTGCTCTTTAGCACTGAATCAGAGCAAGTGTCAATCTGCAGAAAAACATGGTTGACATTTGCTCCACTTTAGCGGTAAAGATTGGGTTTCCGTAGGGGGAAGTGCCAGGACAAGCAGAAGTCTAGATGAGTCCTCAGCCATGCCCACTAGCTTCAATGGGTTGACTCTGAGTAGGACCAGCATTGGCTCCAACCCAGGATTCTTGCATCTCTTTGCACCCAGAGCTTTGCAACGGAGCCAGTCTTATATTCAGCAGCCAGCCTTTACGCATGTGAACTATCTTAATGTAATGGACTATCCCTTTGCTGGATAATGCTGTGATGAAGAATGAGGTTACACACATGTCACAACGTGGCTTTTGCAGATCTTTTTAACCAACAGATTAAACAAAGCTGCAATACTGCAGTAAAAGGCCCTGGAGGCATCTCTTCACTGTAGACACAGAATAGTTTGCAAATGTTCTGAGAAGGGGTTTGTCACATTAAATCAACAATGAGTGTTAATACAATATATGGGAGAATAACTCTCCTAGCCCCCACCCCTTGTTCCTTGTGGATTTTTAGTCCCCCTTGTATACAATAAAATTTCTGTCGGATTCATAGACCTTGACTTTGTGCAGGCATCCATCTGGTAGGATTTTTTCAAGGTTGTTCCATATGTACACGGCTAAGTTCTCTGTTGTGCTAGAGGAAGAGCAGAGAGGTTGATATGGAAAGGTAGCGCTGTCTTCAAACCTGCCTTTCTTTACCCCTGTTGCTTCTCACCCATGACTTCAAATCAAATCTGTGTATATTCTACTCTGATGTAACCTTAGTCTGGATAAGGCACAGGATGTCTCATGGCAGACCCACTCCAAATATTTAAACACACATTTAAAGCACATGGCTTCTTCCCCCAGAGAATCCTGGGAACTGTTGTTTGTGAAATGTACTGGGAATTGTAGCTCTCTGTGCGTGGGAAAACTACAGCTCCCATGATTCTTTTGGGGAAGTGGGGAAAAATGGGACCACCATCTTCCAGGCTGTGCTCACATGACCTGCACAAGAAGGCTTTTCCCAAGCATGGTGGACAAAATTGGGAATTTGGGGGAGCCGCGTGAGATCATGTCCTGAAACCGCACAAGAGCATGGTGCCCAAAATGGTTTTCCTGGTTTATCCAGGACAGTTGTGGGTTATATATATATATATGTATGGTGTGGATCTTCTCTCAGACCTCAGGCTGTGACAAACTTACACAAGCCAGGCATGGTCTATGCACCTCTGTGCCAGCTTTCTGGAAGAGGGAGCAACCAGCCTGCTTTTTGCTGTACTTGAGGGTCATTTATGCAGCTGACCAGCAGGTGGCTTTCCAGCCATGTGACATAAAGGAGCCAATCGGGTTCCCAATGGTCCTATAAAATGGAAACCTCTGGCCTGGTCCTTTAGTCTGAGCAACTTGTTTCTAGAGTAACAGCATCAAGTTGTTCTGTCTATGGCTGTTTGTTTTGCCCTCATAGCCATACCTGATAGGTCTCTACAAAGCAGCTTGGGGAGGAGGCACCTCTAGCCTGTGGGTCCAATGAGGCTGTTTCCCCAAAACCAGGACTATGACCCACATCTGACATTGTATATGGATGCAAGTCTCCTGCACTCTTTACAAATGTGGGCAGTGGAGACTGCACACAAACTTAACAGCTACCCACCTTGCAACGCTGGCAAAAAAATCAACATCCTGGTCAAGGTTCTTGTGGTCGAGTGGATCCATAATGGCTTCCTGAAAATAAGAGCAAAGATCTGGTTGGGAACAGGGATTGTGAAGTTCTAAACCAGGGTTCAGCAAACTTTTTTTGGAGGGGGCCGGTTCACCGTCCCCCAGAAGTACACGTGGTGGAGGGGGCTTCTCTCTTTCCCCCTCTCTCCCCCAAATCCTCCCCGCCCCCTGCCTACCTATACTGCTGCAAAGTCGCTCTTCTCGCCACTGCAGCCAGCCTCTGGCACTCGCAAGGGCAGGCACAGGAGCTGCGGTTGGGAGAGGCGCTGCATTGTGCGCTGCCAACTGCGTCTCCTGTGCCTGCCCTTGCGAGCGGCAGAGGCTGGCGGCAGTGGGACGAGTAGCCCTGAAAGGGCTGGCTGGCTCCGGAGAGGCGCTGCCCAAAATGGCGCTCAGCCAGCTCAGCCCAGCCCCTTTCCTCCACTACGCAGGCCGAGGAGAAGCCAGGAGGAGGGAGGGAGGAGGCGCCGCGGTGTGTGAGAGGAAGATGGGGGAAATGGTGCCGAAAACAAAATGGCGGCACCAAAAAAAAAAATTAATGGGGAAAATTTAACAAACAGAACCGCCGATCTATGGCATGTCCGCGGGCCGGATCCTGAGGGCAATTGGGCCTGATCTGGCCTGCGGTCCGTAGTTTGCCGACCCGTGTTCTAAACTTTGCCTCTGAGGTTCATAACTCTGGAATTACCTTCATATATTCCTGAAGCTTGTAAATATTCATGAACATTCCACTGATGGGGTCAATCTGCAAGACAAGTTAAATAATAGCAATAGTAATAATGGTGATGATTTTATACCAGGTATTTATATATCATTTAAGATTCAGAATTTCTGGTGCTGTACATATCCACCCCCCCCAATGACATCAATAATAATAATTTTATTTTTCAACCCTTGGAGTGTTCAGAGGGCAGGACTTAAAACTGCTCTTGAATACTACTACTATGATAATACTATTAACAACAATGGTGGGGAGGGGGACCAATGCTAGGAACTATCACAAGAGGTTATGATTGGATAAATGCACGGAAAAGAGATTTATCAATGGCTATTGGCTTAAAATGGAACCTCCATTTGCAGATGCAGTCTGTCTCTAAATATCAGGTACTAGGGACAAACAACAGGGGAAAGACATGGTCATTGTGCTCTGCTTATATGTGACCTATAAGGCACTGGGGTGGTCAAATGGTTGGAAACAGACGGCTGAGCTGGATGGAACTGGTTCTGATCTTGCAAGGCGGCCTCTAGTCAAGGGATCCGATCCCACAGTAGTCAGTGGTGGCACATGGTGAAACATGGCAGCAGCATATCTCAAGTGCTGCTGAGAATCTCAGACTCTTGGTAAAAGCGCAAAACCTGTTTTCAAAATAAAGAGCAACGAAAGGAAAATGCCCTACCTTTCCACATATGGTCACTGTCACTGCAAAGGAGAAAGAAGAAACCATGAGAGAGGGAGTTGTTAGCATTAATTGCAGACCCAATTCAGTACCACAAGGTGGTAGCAAAGAGTTGGGTAAAGCACATCTCTTGCTGAAACATATAATCTCCTCTGCAATGAGGGAAAATACAGGTATGAGGGTGGGGGAAGTGGTAAAGCTCTCCCACTTGCATGCTTTAGCACTCCCCCACCTCCAGAAAACATTGAAAATGAGCACGTCAGAGAGAACTAGCCTGGTGTGCTGCTACATTTCCGCATGCAAGGTCTCCCCTCTTCCCCAACAGAAGAGCATTCAAGTGTGCAACTCCAAAGGGGCACAGTCCTGGGGAATTTGACCACTCAATTTTGCCAGCTGAAGCTGAGTACAGTGGTACCTCGGGTTACATACGCTTCAGGTTACAGACGCTTCAGGTCACAGACTCCGCTAACCCAGAAATTGTGCTTCAGGTTAAGAACTTTGCTTCAGGATAAGAACAGAAATCGGGCTCCGGCGGTGTGGCGGCAGCAGGAGGCCCCATTAGCTAAAGTGGTGCTTCAGGTTAAGTACCGTTTCAGGTTAAGAACAGACCTCCGGAAAGAATTAAGTACTTAACCCGAGGTACCACTGTACACACTGCTGGAGTCTAAGCCCCTGGTGAGAAAAATCTCCATTTGGATTCCAGCAGGAAAAACACTGAGCAGGGTCTCTTCCCACTGGAAAGAGGAATGCCTTTCAAAGCTTATCACCCCTCCCCTTCCCCTGTTTGCCTGTAGAAGAATTTGCTCCAGTCTTTACATGGAGGCAGTATGTATCATCATCATCATCAATGCTAGAAAGGCTCACCACTCTTTACCTTTGTAGTTATGCCCGTGGCTCTGATTGCATTTCCCAAACAGCTTCCTATTCGCCTCCTCATTCAGAGATTTGCTGTAAGACAGTGGGTAAGGGTTGAGAAACAGAAGCAGCCAACAGGAATAAGATGAAAACAGCAAGAGAGGCAATCTAACTGCAGATGGGAACAGAGAAGGAAGCCTTTTGTACATGGAGACTGTGTCTATTGTCAGTGACTTAGCAAGGATGACTTAAAATGGACCCTCAAAGGCTGGATACTTCTGAAACAGCCCTTATTTTAAAAAAACTGAGCCATACCCAACCCGGCTTCTTTGCAGCTATTTGCAGCTAGTCTTTGTTTTATTATTACATTTAAACCTCACTTTTGGTTGTTGGACCTATATTTCATGTGGCTGCGCTTTGCATAGATCAGGGAGGAGCAAGCTTCCAGCATCTCTTTTGACTTTTCCTTCAAACTCTGAGCCTCGCAAACTGGATGCAAAACACTCTCAGAACAAAAGGACAGGGCCTCTGAGCACATGCTCAGCCCAGGAATTTGCTTTCAGTTCCAGAACTGAGCACAAGGCCGTTATACCCCGAGCGTTCTTCATCAAAGCTGCATAATTTAGAAGGGAAAAAAGAACCTTTCTCTTGCAGGAATGCCAGCAATTTTAACAGAAGAAACATGATAACGTTAAAACAAAAAGAGCAACGAAAATCCATAGCCACTTGACCTTGACAATAAAGATATTCCATCAACGCTGTTTTAAATGTCTATATTAATAGAGGAAGGTCCATATAGTTAAAGCTATGGTTTTCCCAGTAGTGATGTATGGAAGTGAGAGCTGGACCATAAAGAAGGCTGATCGCCAAAGAATTGATGCTTTTGAATTATGGTGCTGGAGGAGACTCTTGAGAGTCCCATGGACTGCAAGAAGATCAAACCTATCCATTCTGAAGGAAATCAGCCCTGAGTGCTCACTGGAAGGACAGATCCTGAAGCTGAGGCTCCAATACTTTGGCCACCTCATGAGAAGAGAAGACTCCCTGGAAAAGACCCTGATGTTGGGAAAGATTGAGGGCACAAGGAGAAGGGGACGACAGAGGACGAGATGGTTGGACAGTGTTCTCGAAGCTACAAACATGAGTCTGACCAAACTGTGGGAGGCAGTGGAAGACAGGAGTGCCTGGCGTGCTCTGGTCCAGGGGGTCACGAAGAGTTGGACACGACTAAACGACTAAACAACAACAATTAATAGAGGCAGTCCAAGAAAACAGCCAGCTGGATCAGAGCAGTGGCCCATCCAGTCCAGCATCTTGTTCTTACAATGGCCAACCAAATGGCTGTTGTGAAACAACTGGGAGTCCATGTCCTTGTTTATCTCTGGCAAGTCTACCAGTAAATCCTGATCTACCTCGTCACCAACTCTGGAGAGAAATAGCACACCTCGTACCATTTGCCTTTTGCTGCCTTTTGCTGCGTGTGTGTAATGCAACGCTTCATTTATACGAGCTTTTATTCACAAAAGCACTTTCTACAATAAATCTTTTAATCTGTCTTCCAGGTGCCGCAATACTCTTGTTATATGCATGTGTGTTTTGCAAGAGATACTCAAATGTCCCCCTCTGGAAGACGTCCTCTCAACCCGGGTGGGAGGCTCTGTCTGCAATCTAAGCAGCATTAGCTACAACAATCACGTTGCCTTTCCCCCAAGTACAAATAATTTCTTCTTCATTCCTCCCCAGAACTCGAGTTGCTATCTTTCATACACCAACCCCAGTTCCTGTGCCTTTAACTGTGAATATTAGTAGGTGGGAGAAACGCTTTTTTCCCCAGGGCCATGAGAAGCTTTGCCACTTGGCAACCTTTCCCAGAACCCTGTTTGTCAGTATATACTGACACTCTGTAGCCCAGTGGATAGGGCATCCGTTCTGCATGCAGAAAATCCCAGGTTCAGTCCCCAGCACCTCCAAGTCGGATAATGATAATAATAATACAACAACAACAACAACAACAACAATAATAATAATAATAATAATAATAATAATAATAATAATAATAATAATAATAATAATAATAATTACTTATTATTTATACCCCGCCCATCTGGCTGGGTTTCCCCAGCCACTCTGGGCGGCTCCCAACAGAATTAAAAGCACAATACAACATCAAACATTAAAAACTTCCCTAAACAGGGCTGCCTTCAGATGTCTTCTAAAAGTCAGATAGTTGTTTATTTCCTTGACATCTGATGGGAGGGTGTTCCACAGGGCGGGCACTACTATCGAGAAGGTCCTCTGCCTGGCTTAAAGCTGACTTGGACAAAAGTGTCCATTTTCCTTCTAGTGCCATCGTTGATGAAATCCTCTTTTAATTCCCCTTTTTACAGACATCTAGGCCCTACTCTCCAGCTTCTTCGCCATCCCATCTACTTTTTTCCTGTCTTGTTCAAGTGACAAATTGGCAGAGTCCTGTTGGGCCCTGAAGACTAGTCAGTTGCCTGTTGCATAAATTTTTGCAGCTTCATGAACAGAGTAAACTGTGGAAAGAATGAATGGCCACTGGAGACAGAAAACTATGACATAACCTCCAAACTTTCTCTGAAGAAAATATGGATGTCCTATCCTATTATTATTATTATTATTATTATTATTATTATTATTATTATTATTATTTTATTATATTCTTTATACCACACCCATCTGATTGGCAGCTTCCAACATATATAAAAGCATAATAAAAATAATAAAGCATTAAACATTAAAAAAACCTTCCCTATACAAGGGAAACAAAACAAAACAAAACAGTTACTTATCTCCTTGGCTTGGGGGTCACATAACTCTATACCCTCCAACATTTCTCCAATGAAAATAGGAACGTCCTAAGGAAGAGCGGGATATTCCTGGATCAAATCAGAAACCGGGATGGCTTCTGTAAGTCTGGGACTGTCCCTGGAAAAGAGGGCACTTGGAGGGTCTGTTATGATAGCTTCTGAACCTCCTTAGACATCCTTTCTCACATTTGTTGCAGGGTGGGCAGGTCGTATAGGGGAAAGTGGGGAGAGCTAGAATGCATTAAGAAACCCAACGCTTCATATTGCATAGCTGAGATAAAGGTTACAGATGAGTCTCTTTCTGAACTTGGGAAGGAAACTGCTGCAATAACACCCATCGTTCTTACCCTACAGACCAAACCTGGTTAACATTTGCCCTTTGGCTCTATTTGCCCTTTGAATGATATGAGTACCAGAGATGCTATCTTGGGCAACTGGTTCCTTATGTCCGGAGAATTGTAGGTACAGGAAATACTCACTAGAATCCATTGGGCAGCCAGTCTTCTGAGAGGTTGCACATCTATGCTTCCTTCCAGGGATGGGGAAATCGTGGGCTCTTTGGTCACCAATGACTTCGAAACATGTTTTTTTCCTCTCAACCCTCCATCCTCCCTCTTCCCCGTTGTTACCTGTTCAGCCTATGGGCGGCTGCAAATGTTTCGGTGCGAGAAAGGAAGGTCATCTTGCCTGCGGTGTTCGGCTTGCTATCTTTCGCCACACGCTCCATTGTTAACAGAGGGTTGGTAGCTGAGCTGCCGTTAAAAGCGGGAAACCTTCATGCGGGGCCCAAATAAATATATCCACAAGTTGTCATGTGGTGGGTGGTAGACTGGCCAATCGGATGCAAATTGTTCGTCAGACAGCGTATCTCCTGGCCTAAATTTCTTTACGCAGAACAACCATCAGCATTGTTTTTTGTTTTGCATCAATTAACTCAGCGTATTTCCTTCTTGATGAAAGCCAGGGTTTAATGGGATTTTTATAAATAAATAAATAAATAAATAAATAAATAAATAAATAAATAAATAAATAGTCAAGGCTCACGTGGATTGTCTAATTTGGGTTGGAACTTTTTGGAAAAGGACATTGTTTCACAGGGTAAGTGCAGGGATAAGGACATTTCTCCTAACTGCTTGTTGCTTGTGAATACATACCCCTCAATATTACTGGGTCTTTACTTAGATTTTTGTGTTTATACTGTAGAAGTTCTGTTATGGATGAAACAAATGTGGTTTTGGCTCTAAGATGGGTCTCCAGCAAATTACAAGAAGTTAGGTAGCTCAAATCTTCCTTCCTCCCTCCTCCCTCCCTCCCTCCCTCCCTCCCTCCCTCCTCCCTCCCTTTCTTTCTTTCTTTCTTTCTTTCTTTCTTTCTTTCTTTCTTTCTTTTCTTTTGTGAGTCTTTAAGCTCAGCTCCATCCTCAGGGACAATTTACTTCAGCTAACAAACTGTTTAGGAGCTGACAACAAATTTACCATAATTGACAATAACTTAATGCTGTTTTATGGTTTGCAAGACAATCAGACTGTAGGAACAATTGAGGGCTCACTTTAGAAATCTGGAGCAAGGAAGATTAGACTTAAAATCAATCAAGTGTTTCCCACCCAGATAGGGAGCACTGGACTGTATCTTTTTTAGAGTGTGTAGTGACGGAGTAAAGGGGTGCGGGGGGGGTGCGGTCTGCCCCAGGTGCCATCACTGACGTGGGGTGTGTGGGTGACAAAATGAAGTTGCTTTTTTAAAAAAAAAATTGGATTCACAAAACTTTTTAGGAGTGACGTGGTGGCTTAGGTGCCTGCAGGTTCAGCGCTGCCTGAAACAGCAGCGTGGGACTTGCGTCTGCCTACTGCCTCTCCCTCAGCTGCCCTACAGCTGAGGAGAAGGCAGTGGAGAGGCTCCAAGCGTTGGACAGTCTCACTCTGCCCCATGGATGGATTGCCCTGCCCCTGGCTGCAGGACACCCCCCCCCCCCGCACCAGGCACCCAAGCGGCTAGCTTTGCTGCTGCCTGGAATTTCAAGAGATCCCAGCCAACCATTAAAGGTTTGGGTAAGATTCCAGCCTCATCACATCCGAGGGCCTTCCCTTGATGACCGTTCAAAAACTTCAACAGGTGAAGGATGCTGAGTCCAGTTCTCACTGAATATGAGGGATGTCCCTTGATGACTGTTCAAAAGCTTCAGCTGATGGAGAATGTTATGAGTTGCCAACTGAAGGAAGCGTGTCAACGAGATACACTGGTTCGCTGTTGCCTTTTCCCAGGTTAGGTGAGCCCTAGATAGCCTGAGTGACATGGTCCACATCTTCCCATGTCCCATGAGTTCTCCTTAAGTTTGGAATCCACCAAGAGTGCCCAAGAGGTGGCTTTTGAAAAGGATTAGACAAATTCATGGTGAAATATACTCGGAGTCGAGAGTGGATTTCATGCTCTTTATTCAGCTAATAGTGGTGAGGAGGAAATGGAAGTTCCCCCAGAATGTCTGCTTTATATACATTATTTACACAATGGGCCCCACGTGATTGGCTAATTCCAGGATTCTCCTGTAAACCAATCAGGTTGCGGATTCACTTCCACCTGGAGCTGGATTGGGTGGCTCCTGTGGACCAATCAGACTGCTGCATTCTCAATCCTATTGTTCTAGGACCAATCAGACTGCTGCATTCTGAATCCTATTCAACTCAGTACATAACACATGGATATAAGAATCAATGG